TAAAAAGAAAAGATACCGGAACCCTAACTCACACCATATTTTTAAAAATCAACTCTAGATGAATTTTTAACCTGAATGTGAAAGATTTTTCAAAGAAAACAGGAAAAAAAAAAAGGTAACACCTTGTGGTAAGAAAGAATTTCTTAAGACAAACAAACAAAAAATCCCAACAAAACATACTAATAAAAAAAAAGATTTATAGGTAGATAACATTAAAACCAAGAACTTCTAATTACTAACAGGAACTTTAAAGAAAGAGAAAAATGAAGCCAAAAATTGCAACACATAAAATGGATAAAGGGTTATCTAAAATATATTAATAAAATGTGTTAAAATTTTAAAAATGCATAAAAGATATATTCAAGCTTTCAAAAAATGCAAATGAAGACATGTTTGACATGAGTATTGAGAGAAAAATAAATCAAGAGCAGAAAAAAATAATATTTTATACCCATTCAACTAGAAAAAAATTAGAAAGACAGACAATACCAAGTACTGAATAGCACAAAGTGAATTCTTAGACTCTAATGATGGGAAAGTAAAGTTTCCAAAAAACTTTTTGGAAAACATTTTAGCATCATCTTATGAAGCTGAACACCTACATTCCCTAAATAGTCCGCACCTATGCACTGGGATATGAGAATATTCACAGCTGCACTGTGATAGCAAAAAGGTAGAAGTAATTTGAATCCACCAACAAGACAATGGAGGAACAAATCATTTCATTCAATGAAGTATGATTCAGCAGTGAAAAGAAACAGCTACATCCAACAAAATGCATGAATCTTAGAAACAATGTTGAATGAAAAAGCTATTACAATGATATAATTTTATTCTTCAAGTCAAACTCAATCAAAACTAAAAAGTATACTGTTTAAGAATACATAATTTATTTTAAGAAGTATTAAAATGGTGAACACTAAGTTGAGGACAATAAATATGTACCTCTACAGAGCAGAGATGGGCTGCAATAAAGACTAGCATGCAGGTTTGTGCAACAGTATTAGCAACACACCAGTTCTTAGAATAAAAGACTACCATATTATTTTTATGTTTAATAATTTCATACCTTACACACATTAATTTATATGTCACATACAGTAAACCCTAGATTTTGAAGATCTGAATTTAATGGATTTCGGATTTAAGGGAAAAAATTTCCAATCTGTATGCTGTATGTGAAAATTAACACCCTGTTAATTTTAAAATGCTTTAACCAAGATTTGCTTATAATCAACAGATTTTTTGTTATTAATTCACTGTCATTTTTTTTTTTTTTTATCCTCACCCGAGGACATTTTTCCATTTTTTGTTCAGATAGAGTGGGAGGAAGAGAGAGAGAGAAACATCGATGTGAAAGGGACACATAGAGTGGCTGCCACCCACACGACCCAACCAGGGCCAGGGACAAACTGCAACCGAGGTACGTGCCCTTAGCGGGAACTGAACCCCAGTCTCTCTGGACCACAGGCCGACACTCTAACTGCTGGGCCAAACCATCCAGGGCAATTCACTGTTATTTTTAACAAATTTTAGCAAATAGGCCGTACGCTGAATAAAACACTGTAGTAATTTCGCTGACACAAATAAATATTACATATCTACAACTATAGCCCACATATTTAAATCCAAGAATCACCACTTTCAGCTTTAACGGACACACTCCCCTCACCTGAATTAGTCTGCTATATCAAGGTTTACTGTATTCTTTGATGAAATTTAAAACCAAGAATTAAAATTAAACCTTATTCAAGAGATAGCACATAAAAGTTCTCCTAATAAGTGATTTATCTCTTCCCAGTTTATCTTATACATATTTCTCCATTACCACACCTGTGACATTCACCACTTTATTTCAGTCCTGCAGAATAACTTCAGAAATAGTGTCAAGCACAATGGATGTTAAAAACAAGTAAACAGCACTGTAAGGAAGAATATATGACAATATGGAGAACTGTGTGAATGCTGCATGCTATATTCTCCCCCAAACTGATTAAATCAAAATAAAGTCATGTGATTTTCATTCATAAGCATAAAGAAAGAATAAAATCCTTTTAATATAATTTAGTGTACTTCTATACTCTTTTGTTGTGTAATGGGCAAAAGTTTCTATGACACCATATTACAAACAGATGAATCTTCCCTTAAAATGTTAGGAAACAGGAAAGACAGCCATTTTAATCTATCAATGAACAAGATTTTTTTTAAGAGCCTACCATTACAGCCCAGCCAGTGTGGCTCGTGGATTGAGCATCGTCCCATGGACTGAGAGGTCCTGGCTCGATTCCCAGTCAGGGCACATGCCGAGTTGTGGGCTCGATTCCCAGTAGGGGGCGTGTACGGGAGGCAGCCAATCAATGTTTCTCACATCAATGTTACTATCTCTCCCTTCCTCTCTCTATATCAATGAAAACCTATTTTTTTTAAAAAAGAGCCTAATATTATGTTAAATGCTTCTGAAGATAAATTAGCTACTTGTTCTAACGGTAAAAAAAAAAAAAAAAGAGGAGGATGAGGATGAGGAGAAGCAGAAGAAGAAGAGAGAAAGAACCCCAATAAGTTAAGAGCCACAGAATCCACAATGGGGACAGAGCCTTAGGACTGTCTGTGTGTCTGTGAGCACTGTAGGAAAAAAGCCAGATGTCGAAGAGAGTCAAACTTGCAGAAGGAAATAAAATCATGCTGAAAAAAATAGTGAAAAAGTGATCTATCCCACATGAATCATTTTAATCAATAAAAAATAAGTAACTAAAATTTTAAATATATTCTTCAAAGGAAGAAATAAACTCCTTTAATAAAATAGCTCAGCAAGCAAAGATTTGAGAAATCTCAACACCTTGATTACTAAAAGAGTTCATCTCATGTTGTTAAAGACAAACTGATAATACTCCTTAATTATATTTGAGGGGAAATTTATTTCATTTTTAATTTTCCCAGAATGTGCATGTAAAAATGAAAGTGAAATAGTAATTCAAAGCAATAAATAGCACAGAGCGGTGCTCATTTGGCATTCATCCTAGGTCTCAGATAAGCGCAGCCTGCCAAATGCAGTCCACTAGATGATCCTAGACCTCATTATCCATTTTCTTTTTCTACAGCCTTTGTTTCGTTTCCTCCTTCCTATTAGGCATTTAGTTCACTATTCTTAAAACCCTTTGCCAAGGAGCAAGAAAGAAGGAAAAGAAAGGCAAGCATATATTTATATTTTGCTACCTGAACCAGCTTTTCTACATGTGAAAAGGGCTGACTATGAAAAAGGAAGTTTAAAATCTATTATAGCCTGGGTATCTTAAATGCTCCTGCCTACAGCAATGTGGGGATGGGATCTTTAGTCAACTTCTTAAAGGGACAGCATGCCTATGGTGACTTCTCTGCTCTTTCTAGACTTGTTTTTCTGCAAGATTGTCATTAAAGGGTCATATCTGATACAAACCTTCCATAGATTCCATGAAAGAAAGGGGTGGGGAGAGAGGAAAACAGAGGAGGACACTTCTATACGGTTGCTGCACATCCCAGCACAACTATTCACACCAGCCCCAAACCATCTGGGAGACTGCACAGGCTGGTCCAAAGGATGGAGAACCTGGACAGGCAGAAATTCTCCCACTAAAAATACCTAGCTAGGAACCTAAGTAGATTGAAAAAAAATGTAAAAACAAAAAGACTTCAATTGAAATCCCATGTGGCTAATTTACTGTCAAAATATTCTACTCTAATTAGAAGACATAAAAGGGACAAAAAAATAATAAATCATGATATACAAATGCCACAGAGAAAACTTTATATCCCTTTAATCCATTTTACTCATTAGCAGACAGTGTTGGAACAGTATCCACCTCACTGTCTTCCCCTCCCCACAGACTGCTCTACATTGAATTTTTTTTAACATTACCCGGGCAAATAATTTTTTATGATGAAAACCAATTTTGGTCTTTAAACTTCTTATTTTTAATGTGAAATTTAACCATTACAACTAGCAAAAGGACAGAGAGATATAAATGAAAGTTTATCTTCTGTCTTTGCCCTTTCTCCCAACATTGTATAGATAACTATAAAAATCCTTTCAAACTTGACCAAACCCTATAAGGGTGTGTGTGTGTGCATGTGTGCACACAGATATGTGTATGTGCATATGTGTATGCATGCTTTTTAAAAAATGTTTTTATTTATTTTTTTTTTATATTTTAGAGAGACAGGAAAAGAGAGAGACAGAAACATTAATGTGAGAGAGAAACATCTATCAGTTGCCTCCTGCACACCCACTAGTGGGGATTGAACCCACAACCCGGGTATGTGTCCTAACCAGGAATAGAACCGGGACCTCTCAGTCCATGGGATGATGCTCAATCCACTAAGCCACACCAGCCTGTCTCATGCTTTTTTTGTATGCTTTTGATTGAACATAAAATCTGTATCATATTTTACATACTATATTACAATTTCATTCTTCTCATTTAGCAACAAATTATCACAGTCAACTGAAATAATTAACATTTTTTAAAAGCTATATAACATCCCAACATATGAATTTACTACAATTTATTCAGCTACTCCTACACTGACTAGCATTTAGGTTATTTTAGTTGTTTTAGGATTTTGTCATTTCAACAAATACTGAATCACATGAACATAATACACACAGGCGTGAACACAGCCATCAGCATCCATTATACTGGTTCTATTATTGCTATGGGACAGTCTCACAAACAGACTTTCAAAAGAGCTGCAACAATCTTCACTCTTGCCAGCACTTTCACTCCTACAACAATCACACTCTGTCAACGATACAGTAATACGTGGGAAACAATTACAGAATATGCTATGTAGCTAAAATAGTTCATAAAGCAAAGTCTATATATCTTTAGGCATCAATTAGTTTAAAGTGAGCTTTAATTGTGTCATATGCTTACACTGATTGATTTAGTAAGGCTACAATTATAAAGCATCTATATAGAATCTCTGCAAGAATAACACTTATATTGGAATTGATTGTAATTTACCTTTTTTTGACACTTCTGCCCCATTAAGTTCTTTTTGTGCTTCTTCAATTTTGTCTAAGAAAAACAAAGAAAATTTTATAAATCAATTCATCATATACAAACAAGAATCCAGTAAAACAAACATACTTCCTATAAACAGTTCCTGACACCAAGGAATAAATATTCGTTGAATGAATTATTTATGAAACAAATGTATAAGTTGTTAAAGTAATGATATATTCTCTTTTAAAATTATACTTATAATTTTAATCATGTCTTAGTCACAAAGACCATTTCTAATTAATTATTTCCATAATGCAAATTAGTGCATTTAAAATACTGAACTACAGCCCTGGCCGGTTTGGCTCAGCAGTTAGAGCGTTGGCCTGCGGTCCAGAGAGACCCGGGTTCGGTTCCCGCTAAGGGCATGTACCTCGGTTACAGTTTGTCCCCAGCCCTGGTTGGGTCGTGTGGGTGGCAGCCACTTGATGTGTCCCTTTCACGTCGATGTTTCTCTCTCTCTCTCTTCCTCTCTCTCCCTCCCGCTCTGTCTGAATAAAAAATGGAGAAATGTCCTCGGGTGAGGATAAAAAAAAAAAATACTGAACTACAGTTAAAAAATATTTAGCTTCCGCCCTGGCCGGTTTGGCTCAGTGGTTAGAGCGTCGGCCTGCGGTCCGGAGAGACCCGGGTTCAGTTCCCGCTAAGGGCACGTACTTCGGTTGCAGTTTGTCCCCGGCCCTGGTTGGTCGTGCGGGTGGCAGCCACTTGATGTGTCCCTTTCACATCGATGTTTCTCTCTCTCTCTCTCTCTCTTCCTCTCTCTCCCTCCCGCTCTATCTGTACAAAAAATGGAGAAATGTCCTCGGGTGAGGATTAAAAAAAAATATTTAGCTTCCTAATAAAAGTAATAAAATAATACTTTCCTGATGAGGACATGTGAATGCCCAACGGGATTTTATCAGCGATATAACAAATGTCTATTAGCTTAGAAACAAGTCTAAGCAAAGTTCATAGATGGCCTAAGACCTAAGTCGAACATGGAAGAAAGAAAAAGAAAGGAAACGAGCTGATAACAGCATGACACCCATCACTTTCGCCAACACTTGATAACAACACAGATTTATCTATGAAGTGTGTGGGCAGAACAGTGCATTAAAAAGGTACTATATCAAACTAATGACTACGCTCATGAGAAACTCCGAGCCAAAACCTCCCATCTCTGCCCCTCCAGAAGTCCTGTTCTACAGAAACTGAGAAAATAAATGTTTATTGGTATTTTTAAAAAAACAACTAATGAGTACAGAACCGTTATGTGTGCAGACAATTCTGGCAGATGAGTTGTAACCCAGGAGCAGTAACCAAGGAAGACTTGGGAGGGCTGTTAGGAAGGGGCGGGAAAGGCAGGCAACTGTGGGCCAGGCCTGCAGTTCAGTCTGAGCCTTTGGCCACAGCTGGATTTTGTAAATTAGCACATGTTCTTCTCTGGTAACAATCAATTTCAATTTTATAAGGATATACATATTTGATGATTATGATAGTAACCAACACTAAGTTTAAATACAGGGGTCTATGTGCTAATTATAATGATAAAAAATTCCCATGGTACTGAAAGAAATTCTGCACTGAAATAAATTCAGTACCAATAATTATATACTATTTTAAATAGTTCATGGAAGTATAATTTAAATGTTTTCAAAATATTGTACTTCAGCCATTTATGACTTCCGGCATACACAATCAGCCCTCAATGACCTCTAATGATAAACCTACCACTATCAGCCACAAAAGATGTGACTTCCAAAATGACATCCTTCCAAATAAGTAAAAGGCACAGACCCCGCCACAGGGCCTTTAAACCCTGGGCTACCTGTCTCTTTCCCCATCAGTCTTGCTGAAAAAGCCAGAAATTCAGAGAACCTCCGATCCACTAATCAAACTTCTTTCAACTGCATATCGCTCCATCCAGCCTGCCAAATCAAGGCAGAGGGGAGCGGCAGGGAACAAGCCGGTTTGAAATATCAGACACTACATATAAGCAATGGTCAAACATAACTCCATTTTCATCCTGCCTAATGCATTCCCCACCACAGTGTCATACTTTCTTCTTGCTAATTATCAGATCCAGAATAAGATTTATGAATAGAGACAACAACCTTTGGAAATAATAGAATTTTTCTTATTTACACACTCCATTTATTTCTCCTGAAATGGTGAGTGAAACTGAAAATAGCACTAAATAAACATTAAATGCAGAAAGTGGATCCTGCATTCAATAGTAACATTTCCTTAAAGAGAAAAATACCAAATGCATGGATGAAATCTATATTAATATAACAAAAGGACAAGGCCCACTTTTAAAAAATACAATACACTAATAAGTACACTGTAGACAGCCAATATGTAAATAAACACAGCACACAACTTAAATACATAGTCCTTGAAAAACACAAAAAAGAAAAACACTTTATTTCTATGCCAGCAGTTTGTCCAAACTTAAGAACCATAAATAACATATATTATATATGGTCACAGTATTAATAACTGTGTTTAAGAGTTTATTCACATATAATTTGGCATTATATAAAACTTTTTATTAATAGAATCAATTGTGGTTCAAAGCAACAAAAGTTCATGACAACACATATTTAAAGAATAGCTGCTATTTATTTAGTATATTGAAGTTTGGCCACCATCTGTTTGTACATTAATATAAGAAATTCTTACAAAAATAACTCAATTTACATTTGATCACAAAATTCTAGTCTTTGTTTTTAAATTTTTCAATTAAGTTGCCTTTCCCTCTTGATAACAGTAGAGTATAAACCAGCAGATTTAGGGTATCTGTTATGTTAGCTATAAGCATTCACTTCAAGCTTCCACCTAGGGCTCCAGTTTAATAGTAACATACGTAGTCTTTAATTAGAGAGCTCGCAAACAGCTGCTATTGAAAGCTTTTGCTTCGAGTTTTATGAAAAGTCCTGTTTATGATTCTCCTCGTAAAATATGATGTTTTGAAGACACTATCAAAACTACAGAGAAAGTAGTCATTTATTATATGCTCCTAATTGGTTTACACAAGGCAATTTACTTATATTTAAAAGCAATATTTATCATTTTTTTTTCACTGTGACCCAGAACAAGAATATATTTTACATTCCAACCAATTACACGTGCATATATGTGTGTATACATAATTCAGAAACAAACTTACCCACACTCTACTTTCTGTCCTTTCCTATTAAAAATGAAAAACATTGCCCTGCCCAACTACACTTATTTTACAAAACCCACTGATGGATTGTAAACCTGCAGCTTGAAATTCACTGATAAAAGAAACAGTTCTCAAAACATTTTTTTGAAAAATATTTTTTTACCCTATTCCCTTTACCAAACCAAGGGTAACATTTCCCAGCAATAATATATCTCATTACAAGCTTTGATTCGGGGGTGCGTGAGTTGGGGGGGGATGTTAAGATGGGATCTCTGAAACATCTTCCATTATGCCCTCCCCAAGGACACTGTTATCTCAGGTAACAGTTTTGCAGAAAACCACACATTTACAAATAGTTTATTTGTTGCTCTTGCTTAAAAATAAATATACATGCAAAATGAATCTAAAGTAATGCATTCTTACTGTAATGACCTCTTATTGTATTTAAATTAAGGTGTTAATGTTCTAATTAATTCAATTTTTGCTAAATATACTTGGAATTGTCACCTGGAAAAGACCCCAGCACACATGAATGGATCCATAATTTTCCCTAAGATCCAGAGGGGCCCATAGCTGACCGAGTGACAGGCTAGAGGTGGGGTACTAATATTATAGGTTATATTTCAGTTCTGTAACTATTAGAAATGTACACCTTTTTATAGTTTTTCTTCTCCAATAAAGCACAGAAATTATTTGTTAATGGTAAAGACTGAACAATCTTGTATAATGCCTTACATATTTAAAAACTTTTGTATGTACAATGCCAAATATTTTTCACTATCCATAAATAATTATAAATTAAAAAAAAAAAAAGTCTACTTGTGAAACATAATCAGAAACCACTGAGCAAAAAAAAGTCCTAGAGCCCTTAAGAAACAACCTATCTATCATGGTTCTGGGAAGAAGACCAGATAATTTTCTTAGAAATTATTTAATAAAGCAATCTTCAAATGGTCAGTAGGCACATGCCCTCCAAGTATTTTCACCCTATGGTGAAATGCCTCCCTCACCATCCCAGATGCCCACTCCTTGAGAGACTCAGGATCCAGGACATAGCAGTTTTGGGGACCAACCCACTAAACTATTAGGATAACAACACAAAAGCTGTGTGTTTTTATTATTTGGAATGTCTACCCTGTGTCAGGTACAAGAGAAAAAACTAGAGATAGAAAGAAAACAGAATGGCTCTCTTGGAGGGGCGTACAGATTATTATATCCTTCAAAAAATCATTTTAACATCAATTTGATGGTAAACATAAAGCCTGAATTCCCGTGTGGCATCAAAGTTCTTTGTGATGCCCCCACTCCAACTCCAATCTTCTTTTCTGCTTCAGTCAACCTCATGCAGGCTCTGTCATATCCCTCAGACTCTTCCCAGAAGGCCCCTCCCACCCCATCCCTCTCTCTGTTGGACTCCTTCTCTAACACTCATTCAGAGCCCGTCCCTCCCTTCTCTGTCACCAAATCTTGCAAGTAGAACCCCATTTCTCTATAGCTACATATCTCATGTTCATCAGTAATAATGACATAAGACAGACCTGAGTAATTTATTGACCGTATAAACACTGACAATAACCTGCCAAGTGAGAGACAAACAGTGATATATTCTGAAAAAGACAAAAAGGAATACCTGTGCATGCACAATCTTGAAAACTGACATTGGGTGGTTTCACCTAAGAACTTAGCACCACATCCTCTTTAACATTATGAATGATTTCTATGCTTGAGAAACTGTATCAGTACACTGAGAGCACTTGAATAGACATTATTCCATTTAATCCATTAACTTCAATTATTTCTACCTTGAAAGTGATTTAGAAATACAAAATGCTAGTTATAAAAATAGTCCCAGGGATGTAAA